CTCTCCCTCTCTCTCACTTTCTCTCCCTCTCTCTCCTTCTCTCTCTCCCTCTCCCTCTCTCTAGCTATCTCTCTCTTTCTTTATCTATCTCTATTTCTCTCTAACTTTTGTTTTAACGACGCTAAGATATAAATGCAGCCTGAAGTAATGGTTCATATATTCACTATTTTAAGATTTATTTATTTTTTCTTTTCTTTTTTATCAAATATACAAGGGACCTATTCTATCGTTACTAGTACATAGGAGAAGACACAGCACACACACGCACAAACATACACTCACATTCACACACACACACACACACACACATACACTTACTCACTCGCTCTCTCTCTCTCTCTCTCTCTCTCTCTCTCACACACACATACACACACAAACACACACACACACATACACACACACACACATACACACAAACATACACTCATTCACTAGTACACAGGAGAAGACACAGCACACACACGCACAAACATACACTCACATTCACACACACACACACACACGCACACACACACACATACACTTACTCACTCGCTCTCTCTCTCTCTCTCCTCTCTCTCTCTCTCTCTCTCTCTCTCTCTCTCTCTCTCTCTCTCTCTCTCTCTCTCTCTCTCTCTCTCTCTCTCTCTCACACACACACACACACACACACACACGCACACACACACACACACACACACACACACACACTCACTCTCTCTCTCTCTCTCTCACACACACACACACGTCAAACAGATACACAGAAACAAATCAAAATAAATAAATAAATAAAAATAATGAACAAAGAACCGATTTCCCCATTCTAAGGAATCCAATCGGCTGTGAATAAGCGCCCGAAACCGCCGCCATTGGGATTGAGGGCACTCGGAAAGAGGTCTAAAAAACCTCTACCTCTGTCCCGTTAGATCTGGGATAAGCCAAGGGCGACGAAATTTTAGGGCAAGAGTGTACCGCGGTTTCGTAATACATAATCCTGGCGTAAAGTGATGTGGAGATTCACGCCGGTGTTGTGTTTCGAAATATTACCTCTTTTTTTTCTCTCTCTCTTTCTCTATTCTCTCCTTCTATTTGTTATTGTTTTTTTTTTCTCCGTCACGAAATTCCTTATCTTCTCCTTCTTCTTCTTTCTCTTTCTCTTTCTCTTTCTCTCTCTCTCTTTCTCTCTCTCTCTCTCTCTCTCTCTCTCTCTCTCTCTCTCTCTCTCCATATTTCCCTCTCTCTTTCTCTCCATATATCCATCTCTCTGTCTCTCTCTTTCTCTCCATATATCCCTCTCTCTGTCTCTCTCATTCTACCTCAATTTTTCTGCCTGTCTCTCTCTCCCCCCCCGCCTTTTCATCTTCAAATCTCAACAGAAACTCAAAAGCTACAGCACCGACATTCCAGCGAAATACACAATAAAGAAAACGGGGAGAGGGAAAAAAAAAAGAAAATGGATCGCAATAAAGAAAATGGAACGGCATACTTTCCTGAGGACTATCATTCGATCCAATAAATCCGAAAATACGAGAGAGAACCACAATGGCTGCTCCTCGGACACCGTGTCTCTCTCTCTCTCTCTCTCTCTCTCTCTCTCTCTCTCTCTCTCTCTCTCTCTCTCTCTCTCTCTCTCTCTCTCTCTCTCTCTCTCTCTCTACCTGTTCTTACTGAGTGAAGAAAATGCGAAAAGAGGTAGCGGCACAAAACGAGCTTTCGACTCGACTGGATTATGCTGTAATATTTAATATTTAATATCATATTTTCTTTTCTTTTCTGATCTTTTCACATTTATCGTTTTTTTAAACAGTAATAAAATCCGCTTGTTCTTACTTTTTCTTTTGTTTTACGTAATTCTTTTATTTCTCTCTTTTCTTTTCATATTTCCTTCTATTGTTTTTTTTTCTTTCTTTTCTTTTCACCTCAATTCTCTCTCTCTCTCTCTCTCTCTCTCTCTCTCTCTCTCTCTCTCTCTCTCTCTCTCTCTCTCTCTCTCTCTCTCTCTGCCTCCCCCCCCCTCTCTCTCTCTCTCTCTCTCTCTCTCTCTCTCTCTCTCTCTCTCTCTCTCTCTCTCTCTCTCTCTCTCTCTCTCTCTCTCTCTCTCTACCTGTTCTTACTGAGTGAAGAAAATGCGAAAAGAGGTAGCGGCACAAAACGAGCTTTCGACTCGACTGGATTATGCTGTAATATTTAATATTTAATATCATATTTTCTTTTCTTTTCTGATCTTTTCACATTTATCGTTTTTTTAAACAGTAATAAAATCCGCTTGTTCTTACTTTTTCTTTTGTTTTACGTAATTCTTTTATTTCTCTCTTTTCTTTTCATATTTCCTTCTATTGTTTTTTTTTCTTTCTTTTCTTTTCACCTCAATTCTCTCTCTCTCTCTCTCCTCTCTCTCTCTCTCTCTCTCTCTCTCTCTCTCTCTCTCTCTCTCTCTCTCTCTCTCTCTCTCTCTCTCTGCCCCCCCCCCCTCTCTCTCTCTCTCTCTCTCCTCTCTTCTCTTCTCTCTTCTCTCTTCTCTCTTCTCTCTTCTCTCTTCTCTCTCCTCTCTCTCTCTCTCTCTGTATATATATATATATACATATATATATATATATATATATATATATATATATATACATATATACCGAAATCCCCCGGCGCATCCCTGTCCAGCGTTGCCCTGGATCTAATTGAATCACAATTTGTGGCCTGCGATAGAATTGGCTAACGACCGCTTCGCCTGACATTTTCGAACTAATGCGCACTGTGTTTCGGTCTGAATAACAGTACTTGTCGTTACCGGGATGATGATCAGCTTTCGTCGGGAGATTGAAATAAAAAAAAATATATAAAATAAAAAAAAGGCTTACAATGCCCACGCGAACCGAATACAATGATCAGAATGAACAGGAGTTTTCTGATAAAGGATGATTTCTTTCTTTTTTTCTTATTTTTTTTGGCTAGAAAAGAGACACTGGGCTTTGGGAAGTCCGGTGATTTTGGGTTGTTGGGATCAGTGTCAATCATTTTCTAATTTCGAATCGAAGAGTAATTCAAATGATAGGTAATGATGATGATTTACAATAATTGTAACTGATAATGATATATAATAATAATAGCAACTCCGAACGAACATCATATAAATCGCACCTCAAAATAGGCAATCTAATAATAACAGAGAATCATACAGATACGAAATATATGAACCAAAAAAAATATTCGAAGAATCCCCGAGGCAAATGAATTCTTCCTTTTTTTCTACCTTTTTTTTGGGGGGGTCACAAATCGCTAAATATCAAAAAGCGAACATTTGCAACATGGTCAAAACACGACAAATTAAAACCTAATGACCGCGGTTGGTTAACGAGTCGCACAAAACTAATTAATACCGCAAATATATCACACCGCAACCTAACAATCCAATAAAGATTACAAAGCGAGATCAAAGCCGTGAGATTACTGCCTTGATGAGAGCAAGACGATTCTGCAGATGTTTCATAGTTTCGCTGTAATGAATGAGCTTGTTATGTGTGTGTGTTTGTTTGTGTGTGTGTGTGTGTGTGTGTGTGTGTGTGTGTGTGTGTGTGTGTGTGTGTGTGTGTGTGTGTGTGTGTGTGTGTGTGTGCACATATCACGTATGAATATATATATATATGCGTTTCTGTTTATATATATACAAGTGTGTATGTATAAATAGATAAATAAATAATATATATATGAATATATATAAATGTATTAATGTATGTATGTATATACATAAGTATACACACTCGTACTATGTTTATATGTGTATCTGCATTTTTACATATGTACATATATATGCATACACACAGATACAGACACACACACGTGTGTGTGTGTGTGTGTGTGCATATATACATACATACATACATGTGTGAACATATATATATACATATATATGTGTGTGTGTGTGTGTGTGTGTATGTATGTATGTATGTATGTATATAGTATGTATATGTACATATATATATGCAAATCCGTGAAAATTCGCACACATTGCATGCATGCGTGTGCATGCATGCATGAACACACACATAGATTTGCATATATTGGGTAAGTCAAACCTGGAGACGGTGGTGGGTGTTTATCGTTGATATGATGGTGGTTGAGAACCACCAACAATGATTACCTAAACAACTACTCCCCTTGGGAAGGATCATGGGTCAGCCACCCCAGTATGAAGACCCAGTCAACTGCATGATGTCAACATGGCGCCAAGTAGTTCGTGTGCATGTGCGTGTGCGTGCGTATGTATTTGTGCGTCTATGGTCGGAAGGAATCTCTACGACTATATACAAATGATCACTCCTATAACCAAATCATCAATACGAGACAACAATCCTAAACCAGTTTCCCCCCCATGAGCACAAAAGAACTCCCCCCCCTCCCTCTCCCCTTTCCTTCCCTCCCTTTTATATAAAATTTCGATTCAGCAAAACGAACACCAACAAGCTACGTCGGGTGGGTCTCCGCGGGCACTGGAGCGAGCGAAGGCTATCCTCACTCCCATCAAGTCGTATTAGACTCTATATCAAGTAAAGACTAAACACATGCACGTTGGATTGCCACACACACCTGACCTGATAACGCGAGAAATCAAGCACTTAATATTTCGCCCCAACTCAACCCGGGGTTATTATGTAAGGTTAACAGCTGGCGTTCATTAAAATGCGTTTGGGTGTTTCAGTTTAATGTTATTGTTTTTTCTCTCTTTTTGGGAGCGTGGTTTAGGAAAGTTTAGGAGTTTCATCATGAGGGAAGTAAAGAGCAACTGCAATCGCTTCTATTCCTTTCGGTAATGAAAGAGAAAGAAAGGAGAAAGAGAGGACGAGAGGAAACATGTGTAAAGACGGAAAAAAATAATTCACACTTGCCATGTTTCATCCCATGTTTATACAAACAACCGCTTCCTACATAATGCTGCATACATTAGCATCGTTTGAGAAGTGCTGACATATCACCCTTGAGTCTGGATGCAACATGCAAACTTGCAACCTGAGGTAATTCCGCTTCCTTAC